ATTCATTTTTTCGCTCTCGAGCGCAGTCAAAATCACGATTGCAGTCAGAGTACAAACTGAGTCTCTTACTTTAACTTAGACGTGAAAAATATTTTCCTGAGTAAAAATCAAAGGGGCCCCGTTGCCTAAGGGTCTCAGGTCACAAAATCGATTTGGTTTTGGTCATGGGTATACCCGGTACCTACTCATTACCTTACTGGTGAAATAAAACTGCTTGCATTCGCTGGATTCCCAGAATCCCAGATGGTACATGCCACAAACGACGGTGTTCCGAAATTAACTTATATTGCAATGCTGGGAACTTCGTCAGAAAAATTAGGCAGGATTTATTGGAAGCTCTTTCTTTTTTGCGATGGAATGGGCTGTTTCTGATGGCACTGTGTTCAGTACCATCCCATAATCTGAATGCAGGCATGAACAATAACGTGGTTTCTATAATTAACTGTGAAACGATTCGGCACATGGTGGGTGATTCACCTTCCTCTTTACCCTTCGGTACTTCCGCGATATTAGGGACCATATTTCCCTTGAACTCTCTGTGTTAGCGCTCAAATAAATCAAACAAAATTCGTCTAACCTACGACGTTCTACTTGACTCATGAATAAACAATGTTTATCAACAACAGGCATGCTATTATGAATCGGTCAGTGGCCATCTAGTAATATACAAAAGATTCTTTACTGTATTTTAACGTAGTGCAGTGCAAAGTCCCTGAAATTGAAGAAGTTTAAGGGATAATGCTTCTGACCCTAGCAGGCCAAATGGAAAGAGCTTTCCAAGCCGAATAAAAGACGCCGGAACTCTGTTTTTGACGAAACGGTCCAAAGCAAGTTGTATTGAAATACCATTTCTAAAGTGAGCCTAGAGGTTTTTCAATGTTTTTTTCTTTCTGGAAAAGGCAACTTGGAAAAACACCAATAAATTGTGGCCCAATGGACATCTAATCTTGCTAAAGGTGCGAAATTTAGTCGTCAAAATTATTATATCACTAAAGGAATTGAGCCCTAGGTAAGCTGTTTGCGTCCAACATTCCTGGATGATTCTGCTTCCATGCGTGGCGCCTGAAAAAACGGATACGGAACGTGATTTATCCACTATAAACCAGAGAGTTTCTAAATCTCTGGCGTGCTGCGGCCTTCCAAATCTTGTAAACTCTGTTTCGCTGAATAATGTTTACTTTTCCGGAGATCGAAACAAATGTTTCATTAATTTCCATGATTGTAATTCCGAATGCATTCTAAATGAGAGAAGTCACTGATGTACTCTGCTCCCACATAACTCTTCCGACCAACACAATACTTGGAGTGAGTTGCTGACCCTGCACTGTGGTTTCGTTGAGTACATAACACCCATGCTCTTTTCTTAACCATTCAAACAGTTCTAAACTAAACTAAAAGAAACTCAGCTGCTTCATTTTCAACATTCAATCAAACAATCTTTAATTTCCAAAAATATATTGCCTGTAGGATTCGTCAGGTGTATCCATGGTCTACAGTACGCCGTCCAAGTAATTGGTGGNCAGTATGGCGTCCAAGTAATTTGTGGTTGTCCTTCGGAATATGGCCTCTTGAGGTGTGTGAAGAGAAACGGAGTTCATTACTGATGTCAATGTTGAATAACACGGATATATTGACCGGTTTTGAAAACATTTCGACTGATAGCGCCCCGACGATTTGTTTCAGATGTCAAACAGGCTTGTACATGTACCAAATAAATAATCAATTTATCCAACAACGATACTATAACAAAATGTTGGCGAGTGGTTAGAGGAAACATTAAAACAGAATAACGCCTGCCTTGTTCAATTCGACAAGCATTTTGACCCACGGGACAGATGGACGAGCATCCGTTCTTCCAATTTGGGCGTACGCGTCTTTGCGAACACAGTCTGCGTTATTGCGGAACCCTCGTATCTAAGGCTCTTTGAAAATGATGCCTTCAAAGGTTATGTGTTCTATGTCTAAGAATTACGCTGGTGGGTTTTTATAGAATTGATTTTCCGCGCTCCAGATCTTTTTGTGCTATGGTACCCCAGGGTTCAAAACGCCCAATGGCAACAGAACCACATGAATCATAATGTTTTTATATGCCAATAGGTCTTTCACTGAACACCACATTTCATTATTGTTTCATTCTCAGAAGTTGAAGATTTTGCGATGTCAGTATATTAATTATACGGTGAACGACCGGCAGTTGAGGGCAAATGGATTCACAAACTGGTTTGAAAGAACAAAGTGTTACCTGTCGGACAATATATCACATGTTCAATGATCTAAACCTGTCAGTAAGAAAGATTGGATGCAAAATATTGAGGCAGCCGAATAACGACGTATTAAAAATTAGAATAGCAATGTCAGTCATGGTCATTCAATCTTTGTGTCGGGCAGCTCGAACCAGCATTTATAAAATATGCAACTAGTGGACAATAAGTATAAGTTATTGCGATAAGATTGACAAGATTTAACGTCCCTTAACTGCAATGGTGGCATGAAAAGTGGTCTAACATGGAAAACGTATGTGCTCATACAGTGGTGATGCCGTGTGTCGAAATGCATAGATGGGAAAACGTTTTATCTTAGCGCTCTTGCTCCGGTCATTTTGCAACGGAAAAAGTTTTGCCTTTCCAAAATCATGATAAAAAATAAAACTGAACCAATAATTCTGCGGCGATGTTCTGAATCTGTTTGCGTTTCCACAGGCTAGCTTAGTCTTCAGAACGGAAATGTGACAAATGCAAAACCGTTTGAGGATTTAACAAGTGAATACCCAATGCAAGCAGGTGAATAAGACTGTGGCTGGCTTCCGTAAAATGATTCATTATTTTGCCTCCGTGATCCGTATATGCAGTTGGGTTTAGCACGACACTTTGTCCGAACGTCGTACTTTTACTCCATGATCAGCGGCCTCTTAGTTCATACGACCAACGCTAACTGTACTCAATATTTCAGTAAGTCACATGAACGGTGGTTTTGCAGTGGGCGGCTAAGTAAATTATTTCGACCAATACGCGTGCCAATATGGGAGGAAAGTACCGAAAATTAGCTAGAAAACGTTCAGAAAACATCGATCACAATACTATTACACAATCTGTTGCGTTATAATTTGAAGTTAGCGTGGGAGATGGACCCATCCGAATCGTCCAAAAAAGTAAACAACAAATATCTTGTTGAAATTATTCACATCATTTTGAAAATATGTCATCCACTGTTGTGAATTTTTCGAGTTTGCTTCTGGCAAGTTCGCCTGTGTTTGGGCTTTTGTTGTCCAGTTTATGATATTTCTTCTGTGTGCGGTTACCATGCCAAGTAATTACTGAAAACAACACTAATGCTGCGAGGTATAAAATCTCTGCTTAAAACCAGAATGTCGCTCGCGTAATGCACTCACTAGTTTTGTGTTATGTGTCTTCGATTCATCATTCGCAACGAGGTTTTACGCTGAAACGTGAGACAAACAAGGTGAAAAAGTGCACAAAGTTTTGTGGTATTCATACCTTCGCACATTTATGGCGGTTAACCAAATCTAATTAACTCGTTAATAATTGTGTTTGACGCAATTTTGAGCTCATCTTGCCCCAGCTGCAGAATTTAACAAAATTTTGTTACAAATTAAGGACTTGAGAAAGTATTAGGATTATATTTTTTATAAAACGGAGCACTGGAAAATAACGTTCAATGCACCTGGGTAGCACTGTTGCGGTGAGGCATGCAAGGCATATATATGCCCGATTTACAATTTAAATTATCTTAAACCTTCCGATGACGTCTGTTTGATGCGCTAATTTAAGGCTAACTGGCAACCTCAGGTGAATTTTTTCGGACGGGAGAGCAAGAAGAAGATGAAAACTATGCCCGGGGCCCAAGTTTTTTATATTGTTATAATTCTTCACCAGCAGAACGTTTTCGGACATTCTGGGAAGCAACATAGCCAGTTGAACTTTTCACAGAGGACACCGTGTTTGCAGGTTGCCCAATCTTGATAACGATGCATTTGGGTACCAGATGCCAGTAACAATTATACAAGACAAACGCAACCCACGACACTAATACACATCACGAGTTATCATTGAGTGAATAATTTTCAATAATGCTGCCTCGTTTGTGATGGTCTTGTGACACTGCTAACTGAACCCCACTTGGGCTTATGTCACACACGGTGTATGGTCAACATATGCTCGTCCACCAAATTGCTTACAATCGGACATTAACAATCCTGCAATACCAACATATTCAACTCGAAAATGTGCGAAGTGTATTCTAATGGGCTCTGTTTTAAACATCCTTAAGTGAATAAAAATTACAGCGGTTTTAGATTCTTCATTCAATTTCATAATATCATCAAATATTTTCCATTCTTCGGTGGTCAATTCATGCGAAATTTGATGTAGTACGTTTTCCTGGTGTTACATCAAGGTCACACTATTGATACGTGAGCAGACCTCCTTTGATAACCGCTTTATTAATGATTTCAAAGTGTCATCCGACACTTGGATTGTCATCTTCCCAAGAACCTTGGTCTTTGTCAAAATAATCTGGTTTGTCTAAAACGCTTTCCCATGTTAAGAGGGCATGCAACTCTTCCAAGTTCAATGTCATTGACTAGATATACTGTCATTAAAGCATTGTATTTCGGAAATAACACTTTTTTTATCGAATATGCAGCGCAACGGAGTATGATGAACAATTTATATTTTCACATCCTGTAAGCAGTCATTATCCCTAGTGGAACCTTACGAAAGTAATTAACCAAATATGGAAAATCGAAAGAACAATTTTATAAGTTCGGGACGGCCAGCAGGACTAAGACACAAAAATTCCGCGTGACGAATCAAGTAGGAGCCTGTTAGACGGAATTTCCTACTATGAAAAAAGATCTATCTATGATCCCTGGATACCCTGGGAACACGTATAGTGCCCGACTGCTGAGGCACATGGGCACGGCTATACGAAGAAATAACCATAAGCCATATCCCTCATTCAGGCAGTTTTTAACACTCACCTGGCCCAAACGTTAGGGAAAAGCCGGTCCTCCTCTCACTATCATCTGTCGTAAAAGTAATTTGAACCGGCTTATCAAAAGGTATTGGATCGGGCTTTTGGTTTCCGCAATATGGACCGTATGACTTGACGTGTCTGCCAGTCCCGACAAAAACGTAAAGGTAATCAAATTGGCATTGTTCTCCCCAATTCGCCCATTCGACCTGTTTTTGGGAAAAAATACTTTTGCTTTATAACTTGCCTCTAAATTTTCTGGGTAATAGCACATACACAAAGTGACAAAAACGAATGAAAATCAAAATGGCATGCGGTTTCATGAACTCCAAAGTACAACATGTATATTAAAGTTGATATCTGCTTAGGATTTATAAGTAAAACGTTTTAAGACCTCACACAATACTTTGCAAAGATGGCGTTTATTTTTTCGTCTGATATCCCGGTTTCAAAAATATTACAGAAAAAACAAGAAAGTACATCTGTTTAAGTTAAATAACCACTTAAGTTTGCTGGTTCATTATTTTGTGTGAGAACTTCTTTGATAGGATTGTACTTCCCAAACTGCAAAATTGGGAACGGATGGTCACATTTGGAATAATTTTATCAAATAGTAATGTGCTGTAGTTTTTACGCTCAGATCTGCTCTATAAGATCGAAACAAATTTCGAGAAAACCAGGTGCAGCTTCCAGTCATACACAAAACTTCAATATGATGCAACCGGAAAACAGCGGGTAACGACTAAATTAGATAGAATTACCGCATTAATCCGCTCTAGAAGGCTTAATATGCAAACACTCAAAACGGTACAATCGAGACATGATCCGAAAATTTTGGCACGCGAGTAATACTATAGATGAGGATAACTTACATCAAAAGAGTCGAATGTCAAAACGCTCGGTTTAGTGGGTTTCTGTATTGTCCAGGAGCATCCAAGATTGTTTTCGTATTTATTTGGAAAGTTTGGTGAAGTGATAGTTCCACTGGAATCTGTTGTGTCATTGCCACATCGAGCTGATATTTGGTTGCCCGCAAAACAGAAAATCAAGCTTCAGCCATCATAATAAGCCGGATCACTTCTATACAATCATAAATTCCGGAAGATTCTTATTGAAGTCGTTCCATATGGGCTTAATATTTTAACAGAGTTATTTTAAACGTTGAATCCAAGGAACTACTAGCACATAAATGTGTGAATTAAGAAGACAGTTCCGCAATAAATATAGTTGCTTTTGAATATTTAGCCAAATACAGACCATATGGAACATTTCCCATCTGGTGGGAAAATTTATATCAGTTTTTTGGCATTAGGCCAAAAAAATCGATTTAACTCAGTAACTTAACCGAGAGTGAACAGCGAATACCTCCTTTGAAAGAAATTTTCAGCAACCATACTGTACATCTAGCTAACTGAATTTTCAGAATTTACACGAATTACAAAAGTCCACATTTTTGTCTGTCAGTTATCCCACCGGCAAGAATCACTTAGATTACATTCAAAAGCCGGTTATCGTTTGGAAACATTTTGAACAGAACCGCAAATGCATGCGTGTAGATTGATTGTGGAAAGCAAATAAGCTGGAGAAAAATTCAAAAAGGCATCCTGTCCACTGAAGCCTGGCGCTTCATTCACTTGAAAAGGGAGAAGATTGATTGGGAAAGCAAATAAGCTGGAGAAAAATTCAAAAAGGCATCCTGTCCACTGAAGCCTGGCGCTTCATTCACTTGAAAAGGGAGATATTTTGCAAAAAACATTGATGTATGCTGGCACTAATCGCTAGTGACCGGAATCAGTATGTCATGTACATACATGTGCAGCATGTACCAAATTGGCTTCCCCATCGTAACAAACTTACCATCCGAAATGTTTTATCCAAGAGCTCGGATCTGAATCTTTACAGCGGAGCTAATTGAATAAATGTTTTTGTTTGCGCTTTAATCTACACCATATGAACGCATCGCTTGAAGTATTTTGAGCGTCGCCTAATCTGGAACAGGTTAACGGTTGCAATGAACTCACAAATTAATACCCGCATAGGCCACCCGTATAGAAACACGCAATATGAACAGGTTTTCCTGAATTAGTCGTTTGCGCATATAAACGTATTGCATCATCTGTACCGACAAAACACCGGAAAAATAAAAGCCACCATTTTGGACAGAGCGGTAATTAGCTGATCAACATCAAACCATTCGGCAAAGCGCAGCAAAATATCGTTCTTTGTTTGTGGAATCCGGCTGAGTTTTTCTGAGTTCGAATAATGTCAATGGAATGACACCGATATAAAAAAACGCTTACGTTTTTCCTCCGGGATTTCAGGTTCAACTGGTAGTGGAGACACATTAAAAGAGGCAATTGCATAATAATGTAACTAAAATAGGGTTCACATAGAAACTTTATATAGTTGTATTATAGGTGATATTTAGTTGTCAGCAGATGGAATTGGGGCAGGCTATACTTCGTTCCAAGCGTAGTACAGTACTGTTTCTTCATCCTAAAGGAAATATGTAAATTTTTCGTAGTTTAGTTTCCAGTGCAAACTTCTCTGGGGAAGAGATTCTCTTAGTGCGCTAGGTGGCAGTCGATAAACTCTACCTGAGAGCAAGTTTGCTTTAAAAGCGCTGCCTTGAATTACTAATCAAATGGCCCATGCATCATTTAATATTGAGCTAGCAGAAAAACCAACCCAACTCCATTACAATATTGTGACTAAATTGTCTCTCTGCAGCATATAGCTTCACAACCCATTTGTGAACTCAGAATCAGCATTACTTATTTTTCAGTCAACTAAAGCGCGATTATGAATTAATTTTGAACTGTTCGTTTGAAAAATTGAGGAACAACGTGCGACATATGAAAACCATGGTGCCACAGTTTAACAAAATGGTCTGCTGGGAATGCACCGCTCGAAGAGCCGAGGAACACGAGAGTGCGTGATGTCGAGCTAATGTTTGCGGATTTTGCATCATTTTACTTTCCAATTAAACATTATTTGCCGTTCTGATCAGCTAAATGTCGATGGTTACGTTACCGATTCCTGGAATTTTATATGATGCCCTCATATATTAATTCACACGAAAGATGATTCATTTTTTCCAATGCTTTTTGGCATTTTTGGCATTGATCTATCCCATCAAAAGTAGTTCATCCGTTAGAACCTGACTGACCTAGGAACTACATTATTAGGTTAACGGCTTCCTGAAACTACAACAGCCTTAACTCATTCTCATACTCGTAAACCGTGTTTGACTCACCCGTTCCTTCCGGTTCTGCAGGTTGCTCCTCAGTTTCTTCTTCATAGATTTGAATTTAAAAAACAAAATAAAACAAAACAGATGAATTAATTAGAATTGTTATCAGTGGTACTCAAGGGGTTGAAAAATAGTGCGTAAGTATCGCGCTTCCGGTCGCGCCTGAGTGTCAATGCTTGAAAATATTAGGTTTCCAAACACCAGAATGCTATCTGAATATTGCTTCTAGAGCTGTCCATACGCTGTACTTTACGAAAACCTCAGTCTAAGTATTGACAACAAAAAGTAAACTTAGAACTGTGGCCTACAAAGGGCCATCTTGCATTCACGTTCATAAAATCACTGAAGTAACCTTAAAGGAATCGCTCACCTGCTTCCGTAGGAACCGGAACGAAAGATCCCCCTGCTGAAATTGGAAACATTCCCGGAAGCGTAGGCAATACTTTCAGTAAGCTCGCAAAATCATTCATGAAAATAACCACAGACAGAATTTTTCGATTGATTTATCTTTTTGCATGCTTACAGATTCCCGACTCACTTGGAATACACAGAAATTATCGGGCTACCGAGTGACTAATGTCTCTAATTGTTGATTAGTGTGAGTGTGATGAACCTCTCATTTGTAAACATGTGGAGAACGTTCAAGAAATCTTGCATATAAGATTTGGTTAACTATCTACATATTTGTTTATAGAGCTTCATGTTACCTTGGTAAGCAAAAAGCACGAAATCGCAGGTCATTTGTAAAGTGTTCATTAAAAATCTTGTTGGCTTGTTAGTCTACTCCAAAATATTTGGCCCGCAGCTGCCTAATATTTATTTTTATGTTGTCAAGATACTTTTTTTCCGAAGCTTGTTTCCAAGTGAACCAGCTTTCACAGATGACATTTATCATATTGCGACAATGGAGTGTTCCCAAATGTTTCAGATATTATCTTTTATGCGCTTCCATCAATACCGTATGCGCCAGAACTAGTCATCTTTTCCACATCATTGAGTACAGACTTTAAATCATGTGTTTTTTAACTATGTTGACAAAAAATCACATAATGCCTATTGATACAACCATGTATGAACAATACCTCTGCTTTTCCAAAGAAATACTTCCAGTTAGTTCATGGACGCAAAGCTGTTCATTTTATCTTCTATCATCACAACTGGTTCCATGAGGCCGTCTAAATAAATTTAATATTTCAGCGTTTACTATTTCAAAGTAGTTCACGGTTTTAAAAGAGACTCTTTATTTGTTATCATCTTGAACTTACCTTCTCTAAAATATGCGAGAAACCCACTGTACGCTCGGATTCTGTCGGACGTCAGCGTAACCACAGCTTTTCCATCAAACTCAAACGGACCCGGCGGGCTGTAACCGCACAGAGGACCATGGGTTTCGAAATCGTTTCCTTTTTGAAGGTGAACGTATACCACGTCGAACTGACATTTTTCTCCCACATATGATTCTTCAATCTGTATTAAGAAGGAAGACAATATGTGATCAGACACGTGTGCATGACATCTGGCTGCATAGCATGGTAACAACCGTTACACCCTGTCCTACAAAGATTTCGAGGTTCCAGTTCTCAATACAGGTGATACCTTGAGTGAATCCAGTGTTAGCTACGGTTGGTTCAGCATATATGTATATATATATATATATATATAGTTTGTTAAACAAGCTGAACTCCGCAAGATAATATCCGATAGGCTATTGATATGAATAAACTCATCACTGTAATTACTTTTTACTGGTCAATCAGTTCAAACAATTGAGCAAGAAAGCCCTTATTGTATTGTGCATTTCCTGAGAAATGTAATAGCGTGGTGACATTCTTCGACTACCACGCCCTGCCTTAATCTACACGGTACCAACCTTAAGCCATTAAACAATATATAATCTCGGCTAATTTTGGTGTTTGGTATTCGCACGTGAAACATTGTTGAGTCGCGTGGCTCACTGGATCACACTCATGTCAGCAGTCCACTGAATTGCGATGACTGTAACCGATCGCTAATATTTAACCGACATGTTTTGGAAAATTGTCGATATGTACTGTGTAAGTGTGCTCATGTTCAAGCCGATAAAATCCAATGGAAAATTGGTAACCTTTCAAAGTCCTCAAATACAGAATAACTATGTCCCATATGATGGACGTTTTAGCATAATGAGTGTCCGCAGCATGGCAGAAAGAACCGTGCGTGCAAGTTGTGGAACTAAGTTCTAAAATAATAAGTCAACATATCCCACCGTTTATCGTCTACTTAGTAAATACTGGGCGAATGTCTTACATAGTGCGTTTTTATAAGCACGACTGGCTTACTTCGGCACATAAATAGTGACGATACAAATTTACGGCAAAAGCATATTTCGTTTTTGCGGAGACCCTTTAATCAAAATGCGTCTACCTCAAAAGTTTGGAAAATGAGTTCGCTCTTCCCGGGCGATTGGATTGTCCACGAACAGTTGAGGTTATCGGGATAAGCCAGTGGATAGTTAGGGGTTTTGAATTCCCCAGTCGTTCCCTCCAAGTTGTATACACATATCGGTTCTGCGTGACAAAAGTAGAAACACGAACAAACAAAGCAAAAGCACACTAAGTCATGAAATCCAAGTTTCATTAATTTTAAAAGTTTATGACTGAAAATTGCGTCTGTCACGAAAAGTATTCTATTTTGGAGGTAATATTCTAAGGTTGCTAGAATTCCTGTTTACTTTTGTAGTATGGTCGTAATTATAATTAAGGCCTGTTAAATCACCGTAGTGCTTCATAAACTTTAATTGTTGAAAAGTTTCATTCATCGAATATACTAAACAAACGCAGTTCTCGGGATAGTAACTGCCAATGCCGATGCTCTCTAAAACCTTTCGTTCAACGAGTAAACGAGAAATTCAAAAGCCCAAGGCATTACAAAATTTGAATTGAATCTAGTTTAAATAAATATATTCGTAGAATTCTTTTGATTATACTACCATGAAATGCTGATTGATGTACTCACTTTCTGCCAAACCAGCTGTAAATCATGAAATGTTTATATCCAAGTTCATGCCATAATGCGGAGTGTATAACAATCATTTCAGAGTGTAAAACGAATGAACATTCTGTACGATTTCGGAACACTGTATTAAACGTCATGTCCATCTTCAGTTAAAAACGTGTCGCTAGATAGACCATGGCGATAACAAGTAAAGTTTTACCACTATCTCCACAACAAATATATCTTTGTATTCTTAGTGGGATAGCTTCATATCTAATCTGGTGGTGGAGAATTTCTGTGCGTAAGGACCTATTTCACGATTGTTACATCAGCTTGATCAGTCACTGGGTAAACCCCGACACGCAATATGTCAAAGCGCAATACACCGTGTAAATAGACGTGTGTAAGAATAATACACAAACAGCCCAGTGTGAACTGTGTTACTCAGTGATTTGTTTTACAAGATCATCTGGAGATCTTTCAATAAAAATATTATAATATCGTTTTCATCTTAGAAAACAAAATACTGAAACAAAAAATGTTGAATCATTTGCCGGCGGCAAATTGATATCTCTTGAAATCTGCATTATGATGAAAATCCATTTGTGTTGTCGAAATAATGGTACTGCATAATTTTGTCCAATTTTTCAAATCACTTGCAAAATTGCAAGAACTTAGTGACTTTGGACATGGAGCAAATTATCACTCAATTCAAAGAACCAAACTGCGATCAAAACGGAAGCCATCATCTTTAAAGATGTTCCACATGTTTACTTTCCCTAACCATGAAAGTCAAACTGTCACAGTGGTGAGCAATTCCTTTTCAAATTTCGTAAAATAAATAGCGGCAAGCAAACGTTGCCTTGAAAAGTTTGATTGCCAAATCCGCTTCAAGTTGCTGCTTCCCCCGCGCAAGGGTACATGCATTATATCCAGAAAATATTTTGGGTTACGCTTGGGGCCACATGGAATGCGTGAGATATGGCCTGCTACGTGGGCATTTTAAAAGAACAAAAAGTAATGCGCTGCACCAAGAAATATTAGCCGTCTTACCGTAACCAAACTTCAGAGCACTTGCAAAATACAACGCAAGCTGGAGCAACATTGATGGAAGAGAAGATTGTAGATATCAGTATAACACAGGATCCCCATGTACTTATATACCGTTTGCTAAAATCTCATGTGGTAAAATGAGAGCATCAATTCAATTGGAACAAGCACAACTTGCTGGGTCTGATTTTGCGGCGACATTGATATGAACCTGCCTTAACACACTTGCATTGAGTTGTACCAAATAAGGATAATAAAGTAAACTTGGCGATGAATGGAAGGCGCCTTGAGAATAAAGGAAACAATGTTTTCGTTTCGATTCATTTTTCACTGTGAAGAAGTGTACTATGTGTTTCATCGGTTTTTTCACCTAATTTGTCGACCAAAATGTTAAATTGACGACAAAGTGACAGAACACCTCAACTGTCCGTCAAAACACAATGAACAAAAATAAACAATAAGAGAGCAACACATCACAATCGGAACTGAGAAATGTTTTGTTTCCAGGAACGTATGTCGTTGGTTACCTTGGTTTTTTGGGGTTATACTGCTCTGTCTAAATTTTTATAGATTATAGGACCTCGCATTTCCACCCAATTGCAAGGAAAAGTCTCAACATCGTGGAATTTACTGATTAGTTTTTTCTTTCTCTATACCGAGTAAAAGTTATATCCTTTAGTTCTTGTTATTGATGAAGATAGCTACTTTCAGAAAGCCGCTTCAAATTACTGAAGACGTTGGAGACACACCACACGGTGTCCAATTGAAACAATATAAATATGAGAGATTTTGCTCCGCTAACGCGTTCTGATGACACAATCTGGAGGTTCACAACCACACAAACTTTGAAGTTAAACAGCGCCTACCAGTGATCGCCTCTGAATACCGCTGGTTTGTCGGTAGTAAAGTAGCGAGTATTTGAGAAAATCATTATGCTCCTACATTATTATCTACAATAAAAGTGTTATTTTTTCTGAGAGCACGACTTGTTAAGTGTGATTTTTTGTACGTTAGTGAGTAAGTACTGAATGACACAAGACTTTAAATGTATCGCCGTGCCGCAGTACCGGTCAATAATAATGATGGGGCAAGCAAGCAGACTGTGATCCCTTAAAGCTCTGCCTCGCATCTAATGGAAAATGAATTTCATTAGAAAATTTGTGGATCTTTTGTATATAAGTTAAGGAAGACGTGTGGGAATTTCCAGCTTTTAAAAATCACGTCCACGCGAGACGTTTAATTTCTCTCTCAAAACTTTGTAATTTTCAGGTGCCTGCTGATAAAAGACTTCGCCGCAAAGTCTTTCAAATCCCGGTTGTCCACCACCGTAATGGTGATACTAATGATGGGGAGGCATGTGAGTAGTTGGTGTTGTTCTTGGAATTTTGCTTTGCGTCTCTTGAAAAGGAGAGATCTGTTGTGGATTTTGCGGAGTCGCTTTGTAACATTTGCTTGGATTCGAGCAATTAATGATTGTAGCCAATGAATATTTAGGAAAGTTCATGAAGACAGGTCCAGGAGAAGATGTGTCCAGTTTTTGTAGATAAGATACTAATGAGAGTCTTGTTTCCCCGTCCAATAGTCTGTAACTGGTCAGTTGGTATACCCTAATAAAGAAGTTCGCAGTGAAGGCCTTCTTCCTTTCACTAGTAAATCTGGCAACCACCAAACGTATCACACTGCACCTAAATGTTACACATTTTTCGCGCTTCTGTTTACGAACTCCTTGTACGAAATGATCAGCAGATCACAAGGTAACTCCAGGGTTGTCAATCTGCGCCGCTGGGATTGGATACTAATCTTTTAGCAATTTCGGATGCGTCGTTTGGTGGGGTTGTCTGGGCGACATCAAATTATAGTGCCCACAAATGCTCTAAGACAGGGCAGGTAGTCAGCTCAGGTTTAGTTGGCACATTTGTTTAAACCGTTTTTGAGGGACATAAGTTTAACTGCGCCTTATATTGCTCATTATTTGTAGTCAGATGAATGCTCATTGAAGATTGATAGACAGCAATTCTTATGGCTTCTTTCACCCCACGTTAATTGCGTTAAAATAAACCTGGTTGAGTTACTCTTGTGGCATCCTGTGTGTGGTAAACTACGGTGTGTACGCGTTAGGCCCAATAACCAGTGTACGAATATTTGCCCGTTATGGGTTTGATGCTGGCATTTTCACCTTTCTAGAGCTACCGGTCTAGCTGGTAGTCAGTTGGTTCGCTTAACACACGTATTTGAATAGAAAACGGTGACTTTCGATAAAAGAGCGAACTTTGTGGAAAACGTCGCCATGTTATACATTGGTGTGAGCATTTTAGTGAAGAAAAGGAACAGCATAGCCCTCGACTTTCACAAAAATCCCGCGGTGGCATCCCATGATCACCTTTTGAATAAGAACCTTTGATGTTTCCAATATGCACTCAAAAGTATATTCAGGTAATGCATTCGGTCTTTGTGCTAACTTTTCATGCATTGTCAGAGATTTTCAAATTTTCAAAACGGGTCTTCATCCGTGGGTTTCCTAGTAGACAAGTTGCATTTTTCACGTAGTTCAAATCAAGGTACTGATCACTGCCAATGATGGCATACGAAATTCCTTTCGCCCAAAGGTTCCCACATACCCCTTCAATGACAGAAGTTATAAAAAATACTGGTGACGACGAATTCGACGTGCAACATGTTTGACTGGAATATCTACGAACTTACAAACGACGGTTTGGTCAAGTTAAAGAGTCCTGTAGTTTGCAACCTATATATCCGATGCAACTTAAGAAATTCCAAACCTTGGGAACAGCAAACACAATGTTTGAATTTTTTCAGCGTACAAAAGAAAACTCTCCAATAAAATTTGGCGTGCTATAAATTCTTCTCCATGCTAACTTTTTAACCGCACATTGTGTTCAAAGTTTTCCTTGAACTGCAATGCCACCGGAAATATTAGACAAGGTTTCCTTTAGCTTATTGGAAAAATGAAGACATTTTAATTTGTTGTTAGTGGCTTCACAAGGGGATTTCTAGTTGATGATGTCCACTCAGTTTCAAAAGCATATAACAAATGAGGGTTACTTCTTTGATGCTAGTCTCGTTAAAATTGATTTAAATAAAACTATTTCCCATCTGACAGCTTTCCAAACTTGGAAACATGCAAACATTGGAAGTCGCACTAAGGTGTAGCCTGTGAATCACAGTCTAGGTGCTGATGTTTGCGCGGTTGGTTCACTGTGATTATATTATGCAAAATCTGGACATTTGTCCGCGACCATATGATTCCTTTGGGAAATCTTTGGTGTGCTATTAGCACTCAACTCACATGTAAGGTTTGAACCCCAATGCTTCATGCCCACTGTGTCTTGGCTATCTGTAGACATGATTTTTCTCACGGGTTGAAATATGGCAGTGTGACATGCCTACGAGCGAAAAATATTTCCACGCTGGACGCAGTAATGCGACTCTGTTTTGACGTTCACGTCAAATTCTCTGCATGTTGCCCGGGCCAACCTATGATGTAACTGCTGCTGCTTGTT